CTTGCTGGCAGCAGTTCGCCAGTAACTTACTGTAAATTAAGCTTACAGTAAAAATACTGTATTAATATTTACAGTACCGGTTAACTTGCTTTAAATGTATTTACAGTATGCATACTGTACTTTTATAGTTTTTACTGTAAAATATACGGTAATTTTATGGTCTTTTCTCCAGTAACGTATTGAAATACAAGAAAAAATATGTAGCTTTTATTTTGGCACGTTGCCGGCAAGTAAGTATATTCACTTCCGGGTTTAGCGCTGCCGACTGAAGCGCGTCAGTGAATGAAATGTCACAGTTTTGCATTGTGCTTTGAAAACGGCAGCGGATAGCCTAGATTTATTTATTCAGTTTGAATAAAAATCTTATGTATTACAGTTTGTCGATCTAAAATGGTAATTGTGCAGTAACAGCTGTCAACCATGTTGGTATGTAAATGCGCTGTCAGAACTTATTTACACAGAGCATTTTTTATTTGGTCGCGCATGCGCACCTGCGTACCACTTATGTGCACCCCTGTTTATTTGATCGAAAATACAGGGGGAATGCCCTCTGTGTGCAGAATACATGTGATGCTGCCTAAAAATCAGCCTACACAAACACTCAAACGTTGCCCACATTGGTTTTGGGACAGAGCCAGAGTCTTAGTTTAGTCCTTTGTGGAGGTTTTGTTTCAACACCCTTCCTAGTTATGAAGCCCTTTTGCCCAGATTGGATGACATTGTTGTGAGTTGTGTGTTGAGACCTCAGAGGCCCAGGTTTCTGTTGAAATGGTTTTTTGGTATTTGCGTTGGCCAAGACCACAGCGGCAGCCATTGGGGAATCCAGATATGTGAGAAGAGGTTTTTGTTGGAAGCGGTCCCAGTAGTGAACTCTGCAGACTTAAAAGCGGAGGAGAATTGAGAAAATGTGGTCTGTTTAATGGCTTTCCATTGCTGCGCGATTGTGTGAACATCTAGATGATGTTGAAGTGCTACACTATTTCTACATGGAGGTCAGTGAAATAGAGCAGAACCAAGACTCCTTAAGAAAAAGAGTCATAAAGTCAACATGAATGTCAGCTTTTAGCAATATGGCACATTTCAGAGAAAATAGATGATTAATTTGAAAAAAATAAATAAAATGTTGGCAGAAACGTCATCATATTACCTCAGTAATTGATTAGATTGTGAAAGAGAGAATGGAGTCAGGTGGTTTGTCTTGAATTGACGTGTCTTGTTTATTCTATTGTTATTTCATTTTTTTCATTGAAAATTGGTTGTTCTTTGTTGTTTTAATGTTTATTGGTTGTTTGTATATGCTGCAAACGGGACTATCATAGTGAATTTTGTCTACGTCCGATGAGGAGAGTTTGAGGAAAGTCAAGAGGGGGATGATGATGTCAATCAGGATGGAAAATTGTTTCAGAAGTGGAGCAACTTTAAATGAAAGATTATCAAAACTTTTTTTTTTTTAGCATGCATGAATCATTTACAATAAGACCAAGAATGTATATTCAGAACATACTGTATACAGGGTAAATTGTGATTTTGTTGACTTATAAGCTAATGTGTGATTTTATTTATTTATTTGTTAATGTACAGTCTTTTTTATTTATTTACTTATTTTTATGTAATTCATATGTTGGTGGTGCTTATGTAATTTGTAGGTTGGAGGATTGTGGTGCTTTCAAAAGCGACATTGACTCAACGAGCGATGTGATTGGGGGCAGGCAAGATGGTTTACTGTTTGTCCAACCAGTAGAAAACATGGGGAGCATTTGGGAAACCTGTTCGATAGCAGTAATGGTGCTAAGTTTTAAATGCAAAAATAAAAGTTGTAAACGTTTGGGAAGGTTGCATTAAATTTGATTTAAAAAGTTAAGACATTTATAATGTTACAAAAGATTTCCACAAAAAAAAATATTAAGCAGCACATCTGTTTTCAACATTGCTAATAATAATAAATATTATTGGCAGCAATATTTAATAATATCAGCATATCAGAATGATTTCTGAAGGATCACGTGACACTGAAGACGTAATGATTTAGAAAATTTAGCTTTGCATCACAGAAATAAATTACATTTTAAAATATATTCAAATAGAAAACAGTTATTTAAAAAATATATATATTTCACAATATTACTGTTTGTTCTGTACTTTTCATCAAATAAATTCAACTTTGAGAGGAAGAGACTTCTATCAAAAACATTACAAATCTTACCAACCCCAAACTTCCTCCAAAGCATCACTAAAATATTTCTAAGGAAAAAAAAAATATCAAAGATTGTACCAGAAGATCTGAGAGATCTATTTTTGTATTAACCTTTTCAGTCAAAGAAGCAGATTTCAGCTCACAGACTTCCATTCTCGACAACTAAAAATAGTCCGACCTTATTTTACACCTATATCACACTTTCCTACCCAGGGTCTACAGAAAGGCATATCTGTCATGGATGTTCGGCTGCCGCTGATATATATATCCTCACGGCCTGACAGCAACCGTCTGTCTGTAGCGTTAAAATCACACACACGTCTTACTGTAAACTCAGTATACTGGAAATAGACTAATGAAAGACTTGAAAAGCATGATTTGTTTAGTTTCAGAGTCGTGTAGTTCAGCCACATTCAGACAGACAAAGAAAAGTGTTCTTTGAAACGGCAGGTCGCATGTTTTTCTCACCTCCACAGGAGCCATAATGGTTACATTGCCAAAGGACGTGGTTTAATGGTCTAGATATCTCACCGCTCCAGTGACTGCACTGACCTTCAAACTTTACCTTCTACTCTAACTACATACTAAATATATATCTGATATTGCTCAGAGGTTGCTCAGGCAACTTAATGGCGTTTCATTGAAGTTTCTCCTTTGATGCTTCTCCTGTAGCTACTTGAACTGACTTTGAGCACAGTTTAAGACATCGTTGAGCTCTCTTATGAAACTCCAGAGTGTTTTTCTCATGCACAACTAAACTTCGTTATTAGCATCCTGATGCAACCACGTTACAGTAATCTCATTTGCGCTCTAATTGGGTTTCTGGTAACTTTTTAAAACAAGTTACGCTGTGTGCTTCAAATGGTTAACTTGGTTAACTTATTCAACTTTGTTAGATCTCTCTCATCACGGGCCAGTGAGAAAAAAAAAGTTGTTTTACGACTTATTCCTGTCCTTTATAGTTGAATAAATCCAATCCGAGCAGCAGAAGAACTGCTTTCAAGAAAACAGATCCGGGTGAAAGTGATTAGAGTTTAGACTGTACAGACGTCGACATGCTTCAAAACATGCGAGAAGAATCTGAGGCTGCTGTAGTTATGCAAGCCTTAGATAGAGACATGAATCATTTGAAAGGGAAAGAAATCCTGAGAGCTAGACGGGAAAACCATATCAAGATCGGACTACATTTCACATTGCGTCTTTAGATGCCACGGGTGAGGGATTGTATGATTTTAGCAGTCGGTGGACATGTTTCAGATGTCCCCGGG